AAAAGTGATAATGTACTATGTTGTAGTAAAAATACATGTTTATAGATGCCATGCTACCCGTTTTTGTAGCTCACATTTTCAGTAAAGCTATCATAGCTTTTATAAAACCATCGACCCAAACATCGTATATTTTTGAAATTTTCTAGCCTGCGTAGCGGTTATGGGGGAGTGGGAAAAGGGGAGGGGATGGGGTCCAGTCTAGAAATACTCTTGTAAAATGTGTGCTTTAATTTGATATATGATAGTCCCCCACCACCACACAAGATGACGTAGCAAAAAGTATAGTCTCCTCGCACCTCGCAGCCGTTCTTAGTGACGGGCTCCCTGTCCCCCCGGGGGGAGGAGACTACAAAAAGTACTTCTCGGAATCAAAAACTAAGGAGAGTTTTGTTTTTGAAACTGCTTGCTCTTTATCTTCTACAAAGCAAAATAACTTTTTACCACACTTGGGTAAATTCTCGCGCGCTGATTGGCTGATTAGATTGTCAATAAGATTCTCGCGCGCTGATTGGCTGATTAGATTGTCTATAAGATGACATGCACTGACACCATCACGTCTCGCGCGCGCTCACTTGAAAGAAAAGAATGATTTTCGCTTATTTAGACTAAATGCTGCGCTCGTGGGTCCACTTGAGTTTTGAACATTTTATGAAGTCAAGGGTGTGTCAATAAGAGGACCTACAACTCCGTGAGCAATTTGTTCATCTTCGTTCAGATTAAAAATTGTTTTACAACCATAATGTCATTAACTAATAGACCTAATCGATTAACGCGTTGCTATAAAAGTTTCCACTCGAGAGAAAGTTTCATTGTTCGTTGTATTTTCATTTCACAGTTGAATTCTTAGAAACAAAAGTTCTTTTTCCCACAGGATTTGAATTGGGTGGCAACGTACATAGCAACACCGTTAGCTGATTAGGCCTATTGCATCCAGGCTGTTTTAAGTTACAGTGTTGTGCAATTACTGTCGTGGACGTATCAAATGTTGAGAAAAAGGTAGCATGGGCACCATTAAAGGAAAATGCTTTGTTCCGTCTGCCTTGGCAGCACCAGCCTTGGTAACACCAGTTGGATTGGTTGTTCCTTGAATAGCTGTTGTATGGGTTGTGTTAGAAGAAGTGCCTGCCACATCTGCAGTAGTGCCTGGAGGTGTGGTAGGAACTGTAAGAAGACATAATTATATTTAACAAATTGCGAAAGGTTTTGAGTTGTACGTCCTCTTATTGAAATAAATGTTAAAAACTCAAGTGCAAAGTTTTGGAGTTAAACATGTGTAAAAAAGTTCTTTTAACTTTTCATGCAAGGAAAAATAAACCAATGCTGAATTGTTGAATACCAATGCTTTCAGGGAATTTTTCGAGATAGACGACCTTTAGTCGCTAATCCCGGGGTTCGGGGGTCGGGGATTTCAATTGACATTTACTTCACTTTCTAAAATTGACTATTTTCRTAATTGCCAACGCTAGCAAATCTATTGATAATATTTGATTCAGACTGTATTGTCAAGCTGCCGACAAGCTACACAAA